TTTCTGCAGCTTCACACAGTGGAGTGTCCTTCAAAATAAAGAAAAGAAAAACAATGAGAAAGTATAGTAATATATAAACCGCATTTTCTCTTCTTTATTGACCACCTTAAGGAGATATGGCTGAATCTGCTTTTAAGACGACTATATTCTGATACAAATTTAAATGAAATTTAAACTCTTACTCTCAGACTCTGACTTTACTCTTTATAACATATACAATTTCTCCTTCTAACGTACCCGTTCTCCTTCGTTCACATCAGCTCCGTTCTCTATGAGCAACCTTACAATATCAGTGTGACCATTTCTTGCAGCCTCAGAGAGCGGAGTGTTCTTCAAAACATAGAAAGAAAAACAATGAGAAAGTATAGTAATATATAAACCGCATTTTCTCTTCTTTGATGAACACCCTAAGAATATATGGTTGAATCTGTTTTTAAGACGACTACATTCTGATACAAATTTAAATGACATTTAAACTCTTACTCTCAGACCCTGACTTTACTCTTTATAGCATGTACAATTCATTCTTCTAACGTACCCATCCTCCTTTGTTGAAATCAGCTCCGTTCTCTATAAGCAACCTTACAATATCAGTCTGACCATTTCTTGCAGCCGTAAAAAGTGAAGTGTCCTTCAAAATATAGAAAAGAAAAACAATGAGAAAGTACTGTAGGAAATACCGGTGCCGCCCTCTACCAACTCTACGCTGCATCGGTATCGCAGAGGTCATGGGTTCAAACCCGGTACGGACCTGAATTTTTTTCAGGTCCTATTTTCAACTACTTGTTCAGTAGTGTTCTTAGCTGCGAGGATCTCTTAAATTCGTTCTGTAATAAATGGTTGAGTCTGCTTTTCGGACGACTATACTCTTCAAATGTGTTTTAAGCATAAGGTCCGAAGTAGTATTACCTTGTACAGCAGTTAAGCATATGATAGTAATTCAATTTAATGGTTAGAGGGGGCACTAAGAATGGAACAACACAATGACTTCACAGACATGGCGTCTGTCCCTTCCTGCTTAACCAAGAGTTTCAAACCTTTTAAGACAGTTTTCAGTTCCGGTCTGTTCGAGAGACGTTGTTAGAGGTTTTTAAAGGAAAACTATATAACTTGTATAATACTCGTTTCGGGAATAATACGCATCTAACTTTTCGAGCGACAAAATTAGTTTTGGAATCAACGATAGTTTGATTATTAAACGTGATAAGAATAATGGCTGGAAAATGAAACCTGAACTGGGAGCAATTTTCAACGGTAAATATCATTCGAAATATAAGTGTTCTTTTCCTGAAAGTATTGTTGAATAGAAGAATTTGTTAAAAAAACCTTCTCTTTCAACAAATTTCTTAACACATCACCACGCAATTATTTGGCTGTCAAGTTCAGTAAACAACGATTTAATCGTGGTAAATTTGTTGCACGCATCTAAAAATCAAGGAATTCACAAGTTGTGCACTTCTCAACAAATTTAGCCCTTCTCTGAATAAAGCTATGGTCTCCAAATATTTTCTGACCAGGTTTGCCTTTCTTTTTATCCATCCCGTCCAGTTAGGCCGCGAGTTCTTTATTTCCCGTCCAATTGAAGTACACTATTTGGCGCTTAAAATATTTACATAAAAACTAAATAATCAAAGTAATGCTCGATTCGGATAAAAACAAACATATTACTTTTAAGCGATAAAATTATTTTTAGAGTTGACGATACTTCCATTCCCAAATTATAAAGGTGATAGTAATTAGAGCTGAAAAATAAAAACTGAACTTAAATTAGTTTTTGCAATGCTAAATCTAAGTGTTCATTCACAGTTCAGATTTTTTTTTAATTCGTGAGACGGACTTCGGCAAAAAGTTGGGACTGCTTGCAGTCAGACAAAATCTAAAATCGTGTGTTCCCCATGAGGAATGAAACCTCAGGCCTTGCGGTATTGTGGTCAACTGACTCTCTGCCATTCTACTACAGAGAACGCATCTGTGAACTTATCCTGTATAAACTAAGGTCATATGTGTGTCAATGAAAACTGCTTAGATCAGCAACGTAGAGTGTGTGAAAATAGATTGAGAAAGATGTTAAGTTTTGGGCTCGACTTTTCTTTTATTCGACAATTAAGATTAAAACTTGCAATGTGAATGTGGTTGCCATTTTGATGAACTTTGTTGCTATTCGTGTTCAGGCACTGTTTTCAAGATTGCCATCTTGCATGAAAAACATCAGCTAAAATGTTTTGAAATAAATTAGTACCAAGGATTTATGACCATACAAGTTATATTAACCAAAGGTAAAAAATCTCAAAGGAAAGGAGACATGTTTTCGCTTAGACGCTAATAGTACAATAACGAAAGAAGACTGAGCTCTCGCAAAGATTAAAGTTCACAGTTTGAAATCCTTCATAACTGATTAAAAAATCACGTGTATACAGTCGTTAGCTGGTTTATACATGCATTCACCTCACCTTGTGAAACACTGTGTAAACTTCCGCAAATGAACAATCAAGATTCTACCCTCAAGGATTTACTTCCAAATTCTGGGAAAAAACTATACATAACAAACACACCTGGCTCTCTTCATTCTCCACTTCAGGACGACGACTCTGAACAGAGGTATCATCTGGTAATGATAGGTGAACATGCGAGTTCCCTTGTTCAGAAAAGAGCCTATGTCCTTGGCTTAAACCCTCCTCTGAATCAAAGACATCTCTCTGCACACCTCCATTAGTCTTATTTGGTTCCATAGATGACATTTGCCATCTTGAATGCTCATCCTTTCCAGCATCTTCATTCTCATAAAGATCAAACCAACTGGTGAGACCTTCCACTTCAATAATTGCTGGCAAAATATCATGGCTCACGTAAGTTTCCTTGTTAATGACATTATGCAGATACTGAGTTGGTTTAAATAACGGAACAGGTTCTTAAGATTTTCCTGCTTTAGAATAATCCTAGTCTTAGATCCAACTTTCTGGGAAGTTAGGGGATGGCTTATAAATGGAGGGGATTGCATTTGGAGGACATGGAAGCTGCACTGACTAGGTTTGAAAGTGAGCCAATAAAAAATACACCACTTTTCTCAATTATTGCACTTCTTTGATTTAATGCCACAGCTCTCACTACCGGTATTTCTTCAACCAAGTTTCTGATAACTTAAAACAGAATTTAAAACCAAATCTCTACCAATATGACCCCAGATTGATATCAATTAGAAATAAATGTACAATTGCCTATGAACACATAATTCCTAGCCATAACCTGTAGTTCCATAACACTCTGCTATTTTTGTGTAACCAATTCTTGAAATAAATATGAAAAAATTCGGTTTAAGGCCTACAACAGGAATTTTTAAACACTGAATAATTATTTTTATCTGCATATCAATGATTCTTTCGGCAAGGAGAGATAAAATAATTGTACTCTCATTTGCATTAGAATATTCACCTGATTCTTCCCATCCCTGACCTGAGTGTATTTCCTCATCACTACACTGTGGAGGGGCCATGTTTAATTTGCTGTCTCTATTCCACAAAGGGTTGCTTAGGGGTGATTGAGCTACCTCTTGAGTAATTGGTCCAGGATGTGTTGTTGATTGCTGGTTTGAAGTTACAGAAAGAATTGATTCTGAAGGTTTTGGTATAGCATTCGTATAAGGTGGTTTAAAAAGTGCATCATCCTGGTACTGACTTTCTCCATTCTCTACATTTAGGGCAGGAACATCACGACAAGGCACTGGGGTATCATCACGTAATGCTGACAGAGTATGGAAGGTTCTTTCTTCAGAATAGAGAACCCATGAAGACCTTGAAGTCACTGCTGGTAAACCACTTGCTCTGACGCCATCGGAGTTTAGACTAGGATCTGTTTTATCTTCCAGAGGAGGTGAAAAACTCTTTTCTGGGCAATCGTCTGGGGCAGTGCTTGTCTTCCAAGTTTCCTTTACATCATCTCCTGACTTGGATGGCAATTCTAACAGAACAGAAGGAAAATGGTGTTCTCTCACTTTACCATTTCTCCACAAATGCTCAAAAACAAACTCAATATTTTGGTGCTATAATTCTACCTCTATCTCTCTTTAGAGAGGAATAAGAGTTCAGGCAACACTGCAACACTTTACATAATAAATGAAAGATCAAATTTTCCTCTCACAATTTAGGGTAAATATCAACTGAAGTTTCAAGCTATAAACTCAAGGACACAACTTCATTACCTATTAATACACGATGTTAAACACTGCAATGTGCGCTATTACCTTGTTACTTGATTATTACACATTGCAAATCGCTGCCATGTGCATTTTCTGTGCTTACTTAATTATCCAATGAAAAACTCTGCCATGTACGTTTTCCTACAATACTTTTAACGCTTTATTACATGATCAATCAAAGCTATAACAAAATTCTCGAGTGTCATTGGTCATCACCACCCAAATAGAGCACCATGTAGGACAGTGTACACGTCATGCTTCTAGTTGGACAGTGTAATAGGACAGCTAAAGGGACAGTTGACACTTCATGCCTGTGTAAGTGGACAAAACACGTCATGTGCGCGTGCTTTTTTCTCGCATTTCGCCGAGTTAATTGTTGTTGTTGTTTTTCTGAAAACGTATAACCGATGTCTAGTTTTTTTCTTCAAATTTTGTCAAAATTTCGATATATTGGTAACAGGATTTTGTGTCGTCCAATTCTGTCCGTAATCATACAAGTGACTAACAAAATGGGACGACCGCGAAGCCGGAGTCCGATTTGTTCATCACCAGTAATTAAAAAATCGCGATTAACAAATTGGACTCCCACTTCACGGTCGTCCAATTTTATTAATCACTCGTATAATTACAGACCGAATTGGACTCCACTCCGTCCTATTATTATTATGTAAAACATCATCATGTGCTTTTGCCAAAGTTATATTGTTACGGTAACAAAAAAACCTGATCTGCTTTTAAATAAAACCAGCAGGGAACACCTTATTTCAACTAATAGGTTGGAATTATGGAAATCAACAATCCTAACAAAGGCAGCATATGTCTTTCAAACAAGAAGTTGTCTCTAATCATCCCAGCTGGAATGTAAATGTTTGTGTGAAAAAGTTTGCAGATTACATTTTACCAAAGTGTTAATATAAACCCTCATAGTAACACATAACACTTGCCTTTTCCATGTAAGTGATTTTTCTCTGGGTCTCAAGAGCAATTTTTTTCCTTAAAGACAACTGAGTCAATTATGAAACAGGGGACTCTATCAAATGAAAACTAAAATCACCAACCATTGGGAGTTTCACTCCAGTTACCTGGATCAGACAGTGAAGTGCTGTCATCTTCAGACAGCATATATGGAGAATTCTCAGTATCAGCGAAGTAGTTTTCTTCCCTCTCTTGAGGGCATGTCTGTTGATTGCCCTTAAAATTATTGGAAAAACCTGTGATAAAGAACAAACAACATCAATGAGTGGGCTTCGTGAGCCCTTAAGTCACACAAAATAGCCAAAGCGTTACTCGTTTTGAAATCATCATGAGGGGGTAAAAGGAATGAGGTGTAGAAAAATTAAGATCAAATCAACTTCGTAATTATCTATAACTAAGATATAGTGTTACATCTAAGGAAGAGCAGGCATAGAGTAACCACAAAAGATCACAAATAGGTAGAGTACTTTGACTGCAAAAAGTGCATCACCTGTTCATTTAAAATCATTTCAACTAACCCAATTTTCTGCACAGCTTATCAACCGCATTTGAAAGTTTCAACCATATATCCGTATTAGAATGAACTGGGTGGAAGCTTTGCTCTGATAACCTGTAAATACCTCAATATTAGCAAATATACAATGTTTGTAATCAAACATGCAGCTTATATGGTGCTGGAGTGGAATGTAGTGCTGATAAGGGAAATCCAGATTTAGTTATTTATCCTCACAGTCACTGTCTGTTTGCATGTTTAGCTTTCTTTTTAAAAGCAGAAATTTCAATTTCAGGGCATGAAATTAATTTTTTTTTTCTGATAGCCACTTGGCTCCTTAATTTTTCAAAGTGGTAGCCAATTCAAAAAAAGTTGGTCGCCATTTTTTTAGACAAACAAAACCTTTTTTTACGCTTTCAGCGTACTAGATAGACCCTCCAAGATTAAGTTAGGAAAGAGATGGTTAACGTGCTACAAAGTGGACACTAGGATGGATAATATACAACATTCAAGCTCACCTAAATCCAAGATGGCGTCTAGTTATCGATTGATATGCATGTGCTGCGTTTTGGAAACAAACTTAACGAGGAAATTTGCCTTGGATTTATCTTTGCAAATCTTTTTAATTCACTATATCTTTAGGTAAGGTTATGATGAAGCATTCTAGCCGCCAATTTGGCGACTAATTTTCAGGATTTGGTCGCCAAAGTGAAAAATTTAGTCGCATTGGCGCCTGTGTTAGGCGCAATTTCACACCCTGACTTGTGTATCAATAAGCAAAGGTCCAAAATACTAAAAACTATGCTTTTCTATAGAGACCGAAATAATTTTGACTCTGAAACACTGATCTCTGAATACAATTTAATGGATTTACCATTTCACTATATCTTGGAAGTGTTGCGCCAGGTCTTCATACTCGTCATCCATGACAGTATTCTCCCCTGGTAAAGATCTGTCTTGACAACCGTCATTCAGAGCACCTGTTGCTTGCCCTATCAATTCATATCAAGAGTACAGAACATTGAGGCACACTACTACAATGTATAGGACCTCTCTTTACTATTCTCATTCTAAATAATCAAAATTTAAACAATCACTTAAACTGTAAGTACAAGAGATGACTGTTAAAAAGCCAAAATGAATTTGAGGGCCAAGCTACATTATCAGCCACATTTTAGCCAAAATGGCTGTATTAAACTCAACTTGCAATGTGGAGAGTTTACTGCTGTACTTTGGTACTGCTGATAGGCTCAGAAAGGAGCCATCTTTGTTGTCTTGTTGATATGAACGTGCTCGTGGAAAATTATTTGAGTGAATTTTCGTGTAAGAATGTTTTTTACAATTGTAGCCAGCTATTAGGAAATTGCTCAGGCTTTGCCTGCTAATTTAGTCCATTAGAGCTACAATAATTGTATCTGCGTATTGTTTGTAAGACTCCTTCATTGCTTTAGATCAGTACACAAATCAAAACAAGGAGGTTGTTTCTTCACTATGGAAATGATAGCCTTCAAAGTGCCTACGTTAATAATGTGTGTAACATAATTTAGTCAGATTCACCTGAATTTTGCTTGGCAGATGAGCTCTGATTCGCAAATGCGTTGTGATTGTACACTTGTTTTATTATCTTATCAAAAAGCTTAGACACCCCAGCTGAGCCATGCTGCATTGCTTTGGAGACACATTTGTCTATCATGTCTTCATACTCAAAGTTGGTTTCACCCAAAAATTGATAAGTGTCTGAAAACACACGCACTTCAACCACACCTGGTTCTTGGGAAGCTGAATTTTAGAGATAGAAGACAACTGTTACAATATAGTTACAGCAGCTTTAACCCTGTATGACATCAAATATGTGACAAATACCTGATCCTGACCAGTACACTGTGATTCATAATATCAATTGATATAAGTTTGCTTAAATTTAAGCCTGAAAAAAAGATCTGACACCTTGATAAAGCTCATTGATATTTTCCAGGCTCCACTTTTTTCTGATCTTTTAATGTCAATTC